AAATTGGAATATTTATTGGATAAAATGAAGATGTGCTGTGATTACGCAATCAAAACGCAATGAATACACAATAAAAACACAAACTATGTTGGCCAACCAAATTGTTCGAAATCTTAATTTTTCCCTTCGAAACTACTGTATTTGATAAAAAAACATTTGACATAAAAATTGGAATATTTATTGGATAAAATGAAGATGTGCTGTGATTACGCAATCAAAACGCAATGAATACATAATGAAAACACAAACTATGTTGGCCAACCAAATTGTTCGAAATCTTAATTTTTCCCTTCGAAACTACTGTATTTGATAAAAAAAAAACATTTGACATAAAAATTGGAATATTTATTGGATAAAATGAAGTTGTGCTGTGATTACGCAATCAAAACGCAATGAATACACAATGAAAACACAAACTATGTTGGCCAACCAAATTGTTCGAAATCTTAATTTTTCCCTTCCAAACTACTGTATTTGATAAAAAAACATTTGATATAAAAATTGGAATATTTATTGGATAAAATGAAGATTGTGCTGTGATTACGCAATCAAAACGCAATGAATACACAATGAAAACACAAACTATGTTGGCCAACCAAATTGTTCGAAATCTTAATTTTTCCCTTCGAAACTACTGTATTTGATAAAAAAAACATTTGATATAAAAATTGGAATATTTATCGGATAAAATGAAGATGTGCTGTGATTACGCAATCAAAACGCAATGAATACATAATGAAAACACAAACTATGTTGGCCAACCAAATTGTTCGAAATCTTAATTTTTCCCTTCGAAACTACTGTATTTGATAAAAAAAAAACATTTGACATAAAAATTGGAATATTTATTGGATAAAATGAAGTTGTGCTGTGATTACGCAATCAAAACGCAATGAATACATAATGAAAACACAAACTATGTTGGCCAACCAAATTGTTCGAAATCTTAATTTTTCCCTTCCAAACTACTGTATTTGATAAAAAAAAACATTTGATATAAAAATTGGAATATTTATTGGATAAAATGAAGATGTGCTGTGATTACGCAATCAAAACGCAATGAATACATAATGAAAACACAAACTATGTTGGCCAACCAAATTGTTCGAAATCTTAATTTTTCCCTTCGAAACTACTGTATTTGATAAAAAAAAAACATTTGACATAAAAATTGGAATATTTATTGGATAAAATGAAGTTGTGCTGTGATTACGCAATCAAAACGCAATGAATACATAATGAAAACACAAACTATGTTGGCCAACCAAATTGTTCGAAATCTTAATTTTTCCCTTCCAAACTACTGTATTTGATAAAAAAACATTTGATATAAAAATTGGAATATTTATTGGATAAAATGAAGATGTGCTGTGATTACGCAATCAAAACGCAATGAATACATAATGAAAACACAAACTATGTTGGCCAACCAAATTGTTCGAAATCTTAATTTTTCCCTTCGAAACTACTGTATTTGATAAAAAAAAACATTTGATATAAAAATTGGAATATTTATTGGATAAAATGAAGATGTGCTGTGATTACGCAATCAAAACGCAATGAATACATAATGAAAACACAAACTATGTTGGCCAACCAAATTGTTCGAAATCTTAATTTTTCCCTTCGAAACTACTGTATTTGATAAAAAAAAACATTTGATATAAAAATTGGAATATTTATTGGATAAAATGAAGATTGTGCTGTGATTACGCAATCAAAACGCAATGAATACACAATGAAAACACAAACTATGTTGGCCAACCAAATTGTTCGAAATCTTAATTTTTCCCTTCGAAACTACAGTATTTGATAAAAAAAAACATTTGATATAAAAATTGGAATATTTATTGGATAAAATGAAGATGTGCTGTGATTACGCAATCAAAACGCAATGAATACATAATGAAAACACAAACTATGTTGGCCAACCAAATTGTTCGAAATCTTAATTTTTCCCTTCCAAACTACTGTATTTGATAAAAAAAAACATTTGACATAAAAATTGGAATATTTATTGGATAAAATGAAGATGTGCTGTGATTACGCAATCAAAACGCAATGAATACACAATGAAAACACAAACTATGTTGGCCAACCAAATTGTTCGAAATCTTAATTTTTCCCTTCGAAACTACAGTATTTGATAAAAAAACATTTGATATAAAAATTGGAATATTTATTGGATAAAATGAAGATGTGCTGTGATTACGCAATCAAAACGCAATGAATACATAATGAAAACACAAACTATGTTGGCCAACCAAATTGTTCGAAATCTTAATTTTTCCCTTCCAAACTACTGTATTTGATAAAAAAACATTTGACATAAAAATTGGAATATTTATTGGATAAAATGAAGATGTGCTGTGATTACGCAATCAAAACGCAATGAATACACAATGAAAACACAAACTATGTTGGCCAACCAAATTGTTCGAAATCTTAATTTTTCCCTTCGAAACTACAGTATTTGATAAAAAAAAACATTTGATATAAAAATTGGAATATTTATTGGATAAAATGAAGATGTGCTGTGATTACGCAATCAAAACGCAATGAATACATAATGAAAACACAAACTATGTTGGCCAACCAAATTGTTCGAAATCTTAATTTTTCCCTTCCAAACTACTGTATTTGATAAAAAAAAACATTTGACATAAAAATTGGAATATTTATTGGATAAAATGAAGATGTGCTGTGATTACGCAATCAAAACGCAATGAATACACAATGAAAACACAAACTATGTTGGCCAACCAAATTGTTCGAAATCTTAATTTTTCCCTTCGAAACTACTGTATTTGATAAAAAAAAACATTTGATATAAAAATTGGAATATTTATTGGATAAAATGAAGATGTGCTGTGATTACGCAATCAAAACGCAATGAATACATAATGAAAACACAAACTATGTTGGCCAACCAAATTGTTCGAAATCTTAATTTTTCCCTTCCAAACTACTGTATTTGATAAAAAAAAACATTTGACATAAAAATTGGAATATTTATTGGATAAAATGAAGATGTGCTGTGATTACGCAATCAAAACGCAATGAATACACAATGAAAACACAAACTATGTTGGCCAACCAAATTGTTCGAAATCTTAATTTTTCCCTTCGAAACTACTGTATTTGATAAAAAAACATTTGATATAAAAATTGGAATATTTATTGGATAAAATGAAGATGTGCTGTGATTACGCAATCAAAACGCAATGAATACACAATGAAAACACAAACTATGTTGGCCAACCAAATTGTTCGAAATCTTAATTTTTCCCTTCGAAACTACTGTATTTGATAAAAAAAAACATTTGATATAAAAATTGGAATATTTATTGGATAAAATGAAGATGTGCTGTGATTACGCAATCAAAACGCAATGAATACACAATGAAAACACAAACTATGTTGGCCAACCAAATTGTTCGAAATCTTAATTTTTCCCTTCGAAACTACTGTATTTGATAAAAAAAAACATTTGATATAAAAATTGGAATATTTATTGGATAACATGAAGATGTGCTGTGATTACGCAATCAAAACGCAATGAATACACAATGAAAACACAAACTATGTTGGCCAACCAAATTGTTCGAAATCTTAATTTTTCCCTTCGAAACTACTGTATTTGATAAAAAAAAACATTTGATATAAAAATTGGAATATTTATTGGATAAAATGAAGATGTGCTGTGATTACGCAATCAAAACGCAATGAATACACAATGAAAACACAAACTATGTTGGCCAACCAAATTGTTCGAAATCTTAATTTTTCCCTTCGAAACTACTGTATTTGATAAAAAAAAACATTTGATATAAAAATTGGAATATTTATTGGATAAAATGAAGATGTGCTGTGATTACGCAATCAAAACGCAATGAATACACAATGAAAACACAAACTATGTTGGCCAACCAAATTGTTCGAAATCTTAATTTTTCCCTTCCAAACTACTGTATTTGACATTAAAAAAACACATTTGATATAAAAATTGGAATATTTATTGGATAAAATGAAGATGTGCTGTGATTACGCAATCAAAACGCAATGAATACACAATGAAAACACAAACTATGTTGGCCAACCAAATTGTTCGAAATCTTAATTTTTCCCTTCGAAACTACTGTATTTGATAAAAAAAAACATTTGATATAAAAATTGGAATATTTATTGGATAAAATGAAGATGTGCTGTGATTACGCAATCAAAACGCAATGAATACACAATGAAAACACAAACTATGTTGGCCAACCAAATTGATCGAAATCTTAATTTTTCCCTTCGAAACTACTGTATTTGACATTAAAAAAACACATTTGATATAAAAATTGGAATATTTATTGGATAAAATGAAGATGTGCTGTGATTACGCAATCAAAACGCAATGAATACACAATGAAAACACAAACTATGTTGGCCAACCAAATTGTTCGAAATCTTAATTTTTCCCTTCGAAACTACTGTATTTGATAAAAAAAACATTTGATATAAAAATTGGAATATTTATTGGATAAAATGAAGATGTGCTGTGATTACGCAATCAAAACGCAATGAATACACAATGAAAACACAAACTATGTTGGCCAACCAAATTGATCGAAATCTTAATTTTTCCCTTCGAAACTACTGTATTTGACATTAAAAAAACACATTTTAAAGAAGAAAAAAAAGAGATTCAATAGGTTTTTTCTATAACTTGATTGATGACGTCATTCATGGCAAAATATGGAAGGCTTCCTGATTTTACCATGTATCATTTTTTGAAAAAACTTCATTGATTCATCTCGGATTTGACATTGGGCACAATAGAACAAAAAAACATGGTAAATGACGTGGGAAAACAGAGCAGTTAAAATTCGAATTCAAATTTTGGTGCGCGAAAAAAATGGCGCCAAAATTACGGTACAAATATTTGACAAGAGACTAGGTGCGGGCGAAATTGGAAGCCTAGATTTTTTTGGGGGAAATTTAAAAATGAAATTTTTTTATATATCACAGAAGGGCGGGAAAATTGAATTTAGAACATTTAAATTCAGAATTTTTGAAAAAAGGGAAAAATTAAAAATTTTTGGGGAAACCCGCAATTTTCGAGACAGAGAGAGAGAGGATATGAGATTTAAATGATTGTCAGGCTGAAAATTTCAGATTTTGGCTGAAAATGCGGGATTTTCAGCTAAAAAATGCTGAAAGTCTCATATTTTCACGTTTTTTGATATCAAAAAAATTTGAAAATTCAAAAATCGCGCCCAAAAAAAAACTCTTACCACATATGGATTTATATTTCTCACCACAGGCGGATTATTCGCGGCTTCTCGCGGAACAGCTTGTGGTCGACGTCGCGGTCTTGCGGCGGCAGCGCGGAACACCGCTCCCGGCAATCGTCCCTCATCGTCTTTCTCTTCCGCATTCGAGCTGCTCTCCTCGTCGTTGTCGGCGGCTTGCGGTGCGGCGGCTTGCGGAGCTGCAGCGGCTGCCGCTTCACCCAAAATTTCTTGAAGGAAGCGCATGTTTGCCACCGGATTCACGTTGTCCGCGTCTCCGCCGCCGTTTTGTTGCTGTTGTTGTTGTTGCAGGTGACGGACTTGATTGATTCGGGCATTCTGAAAAAATAATGACTTTTCGCTTTAGCCGATTCCGCGCGGAAGATTGCGGAAAAAATATCATAGTCATGTTTAGGCTCAAAAGAAGAGCAAATTTCAAGAGACTTTCCATTTTTGGGTTCGAAATAGAGCTAAAATCTGATTTTTTCCAAATTTAGAGATGTTTGAGCGCAATATAAAGCAAAACTTCCGAATTTTCAGGCATGTTTGAGGCATGTTTGGGCTCAAAATGGAGCTAGAACTCTAAAATTTCAGCTCGAAACCAAAAATGATTCTTCTTATGCTCAAAATAATGCAAAAAATCAGATTTTTCAAATCTAGATATAATCTAGGTTAAATTTGAAAAGTTCTAGGTTAAATTTGAAAAGTTGCCGGTTTTGACGGAAAAATCAAATATCTGTCCAAATCATTAGCTTTAAATTTGAAAATCAATGAAAATATTCAATCGATAAATGTTATTGTACTTTTGATTAAAAATAGGCAAATATTTCAGTTTATTTTATTTGAATTAGAAACGTTGTATTTATTTTCAGAATCTAACGATTTGATCCCAACCCAAATCGTTATATTTTGAAAACAAAAAAAATATTATTTGTGACTAAAAACGTGACCTTCTATTTTTAAAATCTAACGATTTGATCCTGGCTCAAATCGTTAGATTTTGAAAATCCGAAAAAAAAGTTGTTTATATTTGTTTTACAATTCATGGGCACCATAGCATGTTCTACAAACTTTTCAAATCTAGATATGCTCAGGCTCAAAATGAAGCTGAAAATCCGACTTTTTAGCTCAAAATCGATAGTTTGAAGTAAAGCCATGTTTGGGCTTAAAATCGAGCTCAAAATCTGAAATTTCAGCTAGGAATCAGATTTTTTCGAAGTTTAGTCATATTTGGGCTCAAAATGGAGCTATAAATCTGAAATTTCAGCTAGAAATCAGATTTTTCAAATCTAGTCATGTTTGAGCTCAAAATGGAGCTAAAAATCTGGAAAACTCACACCAGTCGGTGGTGTTCCTTCAATCGGCGCATCCAAAAAGTCCCAAATCAAATTGGTATCATCATGTGAGCTCGAAACTATTTGAAAATCATCAAATTGCAATCGGAATACTCTGCCAGTGTGTTGCATGAGTGACGAAAGACAAATATCGCCGGGCATACTTCGCGGATCCAGCGCCGCTTTCAAATCCCAAACTTTGATTTTTCGGTCGTAGGCTCCGGAAACGATGCGTTTATCATCAAAGCGGATGCATCGGACCAATTCTTCGTGACCTTCGAGAACTGGTAAACATACTCCAGAATGGATATCCCAAAGTCTGCAAAAAATAGAGGGTTTTGGGGAGCATTTTGAGCCCAAATTCGACTAAATTTGAAAAAAATGTGATTTTCAGAATCCTGAAGGCTTTCGGAGCATTTTGAGCCTAAATTCGACTGAATTTAGAAAAAAATTGAGATTTTCAGAATCTTGACAGCTCCAGGAGCAAATAGAGCCCAAATTCAGTTCGTTTCTGTTCGAAAATGTGATTTTCAGAATCCTTAAGACTCCAGGAGCATTTTGAGCCCAAATATGATATATTTAGGACCAGAAATGTGATATTCAGAATCCTGACATCTCCAAGAGCATTTTGAGCCCAAATTTGGACAGTTTTGGACCAGAAATGTGATTTTCAGAATCCTGAAGGCTCCAGGAGCATTTTGAGCACAAATTTAGTTAGGTCTGGAGCAAAAATGTGTTTTTGAGAATCTTGGGAGCTTTTGGAGCAATCTCTACCGAAAATCCAAATTTTTAGGAAAAATCAAGAATTAGAGCTCAAAATAACCCAAAAATCACAATTTTTGAGCCATAATTCAAAATCCATCTCAAAATTCGTGAAATTCTCTCAGGAACCTCAAAAAATCCAAAATTTTTGGAAAAATCAAGAATTAGAGCTCAAAATATCCCAAAAATCACAATTTTTAGCCGTAATTCAAAATCCATCTCAAAATTCGTGAAATTCTCTCAGGAACCTCAAAAAATCCAAACTTTCAGGGAAAATCAAGAATCAGTGCTTCACAGAGCTCAAAAATCCTTATTTTCGAGCCATATATCAAATTCTATATCAATATTCCTAAAATTCTCTCAGGAATCCCAAAAAAGCCAAAGTTTCAAAAAGGTTAAGAATTAGAGCTCGAAAGAGCTCAAAAATGATAATTTGTGCGAAATATACTAAATTGGGTGTCAAAATTCCTGAAATTCTTCCAGGAATCTCATAAAAATCAGGAAAATCAACTCTAGGGTTATTTTTGGCCAAAATCATTGAATTTTATGTCAAAATTTGGCAAATTTCCCAAAAAACTCACCTAATAGTATTATCACTACTTCCACTAACAACCAATCTTCCACGATATTGTAAACAAGCGACTCCTCTTCGATGTCCGGACAAAGTTTGCAAAAATTCCAGCGTGTCCATCGACCAAACTTTGATTGTTCGATCTCCGCTGGCACTGACAATATAGCGATCATCGAAATCGACAACATTTACAGCGGCTCGATGTCCGGCCAAAACTCGGCGAATATTGATTTCTCGTGCCGAGACCATGTCCCAGACGGCTATTGATCGATCTTTTGAGCTGGAAATCGGGATTTTCAGAAGATTCAGTGAAAATGGAAGATTTTGAATCCAAATATGAAAAGCTGTGAAAAATTTTACAGCACTTCGAAGTTTTCTAGGGTGAAATTAAGTTCTTGGAATTCAAAATCAAATTTTAAGCTATAAATAGTGATTTTTGAGTTTTTCAGTGAAAATGAAGCATTTCGAGCCCAAACATGATAAGTTTTGATGAATCTCACAATTTTCTGGGTAATTTAAAAGCTGGTGGAAGTTTAGAGCTTAACCTATATTAAAATCAGGTTCCTGAAGCTCTATGGATTATTTTGAGCTCGAATTGTGAATTTTCATAAGGTTCAATAAAAATGAAGCATTTTGAGCCCAAAAATTGGGATTTCGGTGATTTTTAAGATTTTCTAGGTTCTGAGAAGCACCAAAATATACCCTGTTTGTGCTCAAAATTCTCGCTAGGATCTCAGAAATCCCATGGAGCCCTCGAGAATCGTTGAAATCCCCCGAAAAACCCACCAAGTGACCATAGTTCCATTGCTGAATCTCAAATGAAGAACAGCTTCACAATGATGAATCAGAGTTTTGAGACAATCACCGGTTTCCACGTCCCAAACACGTACTGTGGCGTCTGATGAACCTGGATAAAATTTGGGGTGAAATTTTGCCACTTAAAATTTTTTTGAGCATTGATCATGTTAATTATTGCCGTTATATTGAAATTTCGAGTATTTCGACACCAAAATCGATTATTTTTGGAGTTGAAAAAAATGGAGAAATTAACATGAGTAATGCTCAATTTTCATTGAAATAGAGTAAATTCCAAAACTAACATGAGCAATGCTCAAATTTTCATCCGAATATATCAATGTATGTGTCGAAAAGCTCCAAATTTCATGAAAAATTCAAAAAATAACATAAGCAATGCTGAATTTTTATTGAAAATAGGTCAAATCTGGTGTCAAAAAAATTAACATGAGCAATACCCATTTTCATCAAAATCAGCCGAACTTGGTCTCAAAAAGCTTCAAATCTCTCCCAAAATTCAATTTTCCATGAAAACCACATAAGTTTGGTCTCCAAAAGCTCCAAATCTTTTCAAAAATTCAAATTTCCCCTAAAATCCCAACATACCCAAAATAATGACCCGATTATCTTACTGCAAACACAAAACACTTCCCGTATGTCCGGTCAACGTCATTCGACACAAATAGTCTTTTCGATCCCATATTTTGATGGTATTGTCGCGGAGTCCCGATACGATTTTCTCATCGTCATTCTGTAGACAATAAACACCTTTCGAATTTTCGGAATGACAATTGAAACGTGTCAATTTGTAGTTGCCACGTCGCCAATTTATATCGATTACAAACGCAGTTGGAAAAAGGGTCCTTTAAGGATGCCGAAAGTATCCTTCAGGGATGAGCTCATGTGTCAATTAAGTACCTCACAAAGATCAAGTTTTCAGTTTTTGCTGCTCAACAAAAATCACACCTCGGCCAAAATCATGGTTTTCAAAATAAGAAATTGTACGTGAACTTTTTACAGTATGAAAACTGTGAATTTTTCAGTGTTTGACCTCTAAAAACTCTGAATTCGTCAATTTTTGACCTCTGAAAACTGCAATTCAAAATTTTTCAAAAGTGTACTCCGGCCAGCCACAGATTGGCCGAGGTGTGACAAAAAGTGCAAAAAGTTGGATAAATTTAAGAAAACGCAGTTTTTAAATTTAAGAAAACGCAGTCCTCATGTCAAAAATATTTTATCGACACTGAATAATGACGTTGTTCAGGAGGGTCGACTTATCCAAGTCGCAATTTTTCGATAAGTAAATCTATGTTTTTTTAATTTGTAGCTTACAAGGGAAGTAAAAAGGGTTCTGAAATTAACTTCTGATGAAACATAGTGAAATATAGTAATTCGACCATGCTGAAAACGATCCCGAAGTCGAAAATTGCTATAACGCACTCTGAGCCATCTTTTGGAGCTTGGTGTAATTTAACCGCCAGACAAACACCAAAAAAGGTCGGAGAGTGTGCAAAAAATGAAAAGTTTGGAGCTCCAAAAATGGCTCAGAGTTCGTTATAGCAATATTTGACTTCGGGATCGTGTTCAGCACAAATACTATATTTCACTACGTTTCATCAAAAGTTAATTTCAGAGCCTAAATCACTTCCCTTGTTAGAAAATAGGCTGATCCATTTCGAAAATTTTTGGAAAATTCTGTCAATAATTTTGACTTTGGTGAATCGACCGTACTGAACATTGTCATATGCTTAGTTTTTGATAAAATTTTCGTTGACATGAGTCATGGACCCTAGAAAACGCGTTTTTCAGAAAATTCTCGATTTTGGGCTTATTTTTGTGCTCTTCAGAGAGTTGCGCACCAAAAACTAAAAACGAGATATTTCTCTGCGTGAAAAACTGTAGAAAATATGTCTCATTGAAAATCTTCGGTGACTGGCAAGTTATCAGTGGTCACACATTTTTCCCGTCATAAATTTTTTCTCGAGTTTCGGATAAAAATTATATTTCAAAAAACTGACTTTCAAAAATCCTCCTTTATTTGGTCGAAATGTCCAGTGAGTCGAATCGTCCGGCGGCTTTTCTGAAAAGTCAAATTTTCTAGGTTTTCACAGTATATTTGTTTACCTGTACAATGAGCATCGTTGAAGGGTTTAGACTGTCTGTAAAAATAATTTATTGAGATTTCCGAAGATTTCAAGAGAGAAAATATTAAGATAAGAGGTTAACAGAACTAAAGTTTTACTATAGGACTATACTTTAATAAGATAGGTGGATATTTTCGATGTTTTTCATACTTTTATCATGTCTGCTGCTCAGATGTAGAGTTTTATTTTTAATATTTTGGGCATATCAGATGACAAATTTTGACAAGATTTCGCCAACTCGTTTTTGCCAAAAAATTATTTTTGAACGAAATTTTCGAAGCTGTTGTCAAATTTCGACCAAAAAGCCAGATGGAACGAGTTCAGTCAAAAATTAATCAAGCTTTCACTATCTGTGATGTTTTACACATTCCAATAGTCTTGGACAACTTAAAAAGTTATTTATATCAAACGGATCGTCGCTTGTTATGAATAAATAGGAAAAATAATGAGAAACAATGCACAAACGCACAAAAAACTGATTATTGAAATCTGAATGTATTCTCCTTGAAGAACTTATCGGAAATAGCAACAACACATGAAATAGGTTTTACCGAAAACTTTCTGAGTCTGATAATCAAATATTTCTATTGAAATGCATTCTTACATTTAGTCGTCGAAAAACGGGTGTTTTCAAACATGAAATCTCGCCACAGACACACCGACTAAAACTTTGAAACTCGTGTATGCAGAGAATTCACTTTATAATTAATCGCATGATAATGAAACGTAGCTTCTTGAAGTCAAAATAGTAAAATTGGTTGGTTTACGGAGGGCTAACGGTCAATTAGTTGAAAATGTAGAGAAGTCCTAAAATCGAAAATTTCTCATGTTTTTCAAAGTTTATTCCTTGAATCTCAAGTAACGCACTATCAATAGCAGTTTACATTTATATCGCAACCTGTTTCACACGTTCTACGCTCGAAAACAACACAGAAAAAACGAAAAACAGAAACAAAGAAAACTCAGACAAGTTGAGCGATTAATCGGCAAGCAAAGTGAGCTGACGATTAATCGTCTGAACAAAATTAATACAGGCGATTAATCGCTCAGCCAGCAGCTAATTCAAGTTGCTTAGCGATTAATCGCCCAACTTGTCTGAGAAAAAACGAAAAAACGAAAATGAATTCCGAGAGAAGTACACACTCTGCGGACAACACACGCTAGTTGACGCGCAGTTACACATTTTCTTGTTTTTATCGGAAAATAGGTTTTCGGAAAACCCCTATTTTACAGGATGAGGAGAGAGTATTGCAGGAAAGATAGAAGTAAGGAAAAGGAGTTGGGTGAGTATTTTGGGGTTTGGGTTTTTTCAAAAAATTATTATTGAAAATTTGATAAAATTATAATTATGAGAAACATTTTTGTTTATTATTTAGGTTAGTTATAGGATAGTTTTTAGAGAGATCAAATCTATATTTTTTAGAAATATTAATTTTTTGGTATTGTCAATCCGAAATTTTTTGACCCTTGGAAGAGAATCGATATGGCCCAGAAAACCAAACATTTTTTTTTTCAATACAAAAGATGAAAGAAGCCGTCTGAAGTCTACTGTAGTGGTTTTCTCTTCCACGGCTCTAAATTTTCGAATTGACAATAGTATTTTATAGTTTTTTTGTTCAACAAATTATTTATTGAATCCATTTTTGATAAATTGATTGATCATATTTTTAATCCTAGGATAATAATATGTGCATGTATTGAATATTCTGATAATTTCGGTATATATAGTGTTAAGTGTCATTCGTAATGAACTCTACAAGAAAATTATAAAAATGTTATAAAAAGAAATAATCATGGAGGTACTTGACTTATCTGTGGAAACTGTTTTTAATAAAGATTCATTCATTCATCTAATTCATTCATTCATCTAAAATAGAAAAAAAATTGTGTTGGTTTTCATTTGTTTCTCGTGATTCGACTTCTTAAACTTCTGGCTTGCATCCCATAAAATTGTTCGACTTCTTGAACCAATTGCGCAAAAAATGAACAATTGTTTTTGTAAAGTCTGAAAATGAAATAAACAAATGAACAAATAAATAAATATACTTATGAAAACTTACGTTGTTAGTTCAATGCTCACATTGTCTGGGCATATTTTGGTAATATGACCAGGATTTGAAAATGGCATCACACAACAATTTCGTTTCAGCGCCACCCAATTTCCGGATTTTCTCGATAACCTGAACTCAGAATATTACATCAGTTTCATCATCAGTTAACCCTAATTCGCTAAAAATCTTTTGAAGCCTTTCGAAATAGATTTAAAATATTAATCATTTTTTCATTGAATTTCGTCGATTTTAGACCCACAAGATTGTATCAGGTCTCAAAAAATTGGGGTAAATGTTTCTGGTAGTATATTACACTCTGAGTTTCGTAATATTCCCAGAAAAACTCACTTTATCCGTTGGTGATTCCAATTGATGAACCGTACTTCCAGCGACGCCACGATTGGCTCTGCGAGATTCAGATTCAAAGTTTATTTCTGGATTCACATTTTGGGTGTTTTCGCGACGCGTCAACTGAAATCATCATAACATTAAACTTTATCGGAAGCTTGTTAGTCAGAAAATTTGGGTTTTTAGTGTAGTGAAATTCAAATGGGTTCGCATCTCCCCATAATATTTTTCAAATAAACATAGAAATATTGCACTGAACTGGGCGTGCTCACCACATTCCGATCCTGGAATCACACGGCGAAATGTTTTCAGTAAACTTATTTTCAGAGCGAAATTTGAAAAAAAATCCATATAAAACGGAATAAAAATGGTTTCAAATTTCACAGATTTGGCATTACGACTTACTTCATTTCCTAGTGACCAACTATCATTACTTCCAATTGTCGTTTCAGTTAGTGTATACTCGCCACTTGTTTCATCCCAATCTGTAGAGTTTGTCATATTCATCGATGATGATTGATTTGAGATATTCCAAAGTTCCTGAAAAAAATGAGGTCTTCTGAAAGATGTCGGCGTAGACAAATGCTTATAGTTGGACCAGTTTTTCGGTTAGTTCGTTTGTTTGGTTTTGAGTTTGTTCATGTGAAATAATTTAGATTGATTTCCAGTTTTGGGTTTTGTCATAAGACTGTGCTGGAAAATTTTCCCGAAAATAATTTTTAAAGTACAATTTTTAGGAATATCTTAAAAATCGTTGGACAATTTTCTCAGAGTCTAGCAAAACTGGTTGATTTTCCCATATTTTAAAAACAAAACTAACTTTAGCTGAACATGTGAGATCGACAATTGATGTTGGCTTTTGCTCAATTGGTTTCGTTGTTGGTTGTTGTTGGGTGTTGGATTTTGATGGTGTAATTGTGGAAATGTCAGATCCTTTCATAACACGATTCATTTGTTCGACCGAAAGCTTAGCCTTGTTTTCAATATGCTTGAATATCAAAATCAGCTTCAGCTTTGATTCCACCGGCAAACTTAGCAAATTGACACATCCATAATTTTCCAAATTTCCAATGATCCAAGTAAGGAACTTGAAAACATCGATGATTTTTGCGCACACATTTTTGTCATTTACCTAAGAAAAAACAATTCAATTTCAGAAAAAAATTACTTAAAATCATACCAATGGACAAAGAACACCAATATTAGATTGAGTCATTGAATTTCGAAAACTTGACAGAATACGAAGTATTGCTTGTCGTTTCCAATGCGACCTCAAATCTTCATTCAAACTGCTGGCAAATGCAGGATATTCTTCTTCTGAAAAAGTAAAGATAAAAATGATTGTTGTACAATAAAATCTTACTTGAACCATCAGATGAAAATACGGTGACAAATGACTTCAGAAGATGAAAAGCAGTCTAAAATAATAATATATAAACTAAATAATATCCGAAAATTATCTCACTTCAAAAACCATCAAATCCAAATCTTCGAACATTTTTGATCTTATATTATCCGGAAGTTTTTGGATGTATGTTTTGGCGAATTCTGGTTCTTGAGTCAATGAAATTTTTAGCAGAATATACCAAACGTCACATATGTATTGACAACAGATTTCCATTGTTCCAACATCATTTTGATTCAACAACGGGTTGATTTTGTCAATCAATTTGATATTTATTTCATCCAAATATTTTGGAAACTCATTCATTAGGCCAACAACATCATTCGACGAAATTATTTTTCTGAAATAAATAAATCATGATCAACAAATTAATTTGAAAATTAGTCTCAACTTACATTAAATTAACTAATTTTGGTCGACCGTTTTGTAGGGAGCCCAAAATATTGGTCCGAATCAGTTCGAATTCAGTTTGTTGATATTTTTCTAATCCGAACAATTTTATCAAAATATAGGCATCCCATTCTGAATCGAAACAAAGTTCGCAAATTGCATTGAATTGCTTATCTTCATTTTTTGCGCACCCAATTTTTGAAATTAATGACAAAAATTTGACATCGCACTTTCGGATGAACATGCTTCGCACATATCTCGATAATTTTTCTTCAAATTGATCCCAGTTCTCTGAAGAACAATAAACTTGGAACACATCGTGATCTTGTTTCTTTGCTACAAGATCATACCCGATTGATTTGATTTGAGATTCCTGAAAATCAATTTTTAGTACTTTTTAAAATGTATAAATTTTTCTTACATATTTTTTTCCGAACATAAATAGAACGTCCAGCGCAATTTTCAGATTTTCATCATTGCCTTGGCTGATAGTTGCAATTAGTTCATTGGTAGATGGCTTTTTGTTTGTGAATCCAAGTATGAAGTCGATGAATGAGTTCTGTAAAAAAATCATTATAAATTGGGAGATGTTATTCTTATAAACTACCTTTCTATTTGTTATTATTGTATTTTCATTTGTTATAATATGACGAAGAATGTTTGAGAAGAAATAAGAACTAATGTTTCCCAAACATTCATTTTTTCTTTCGTTCAACGTCGGATTCGACATTGGAAAACCTAAACAATGATTCTTTTTTAGGGACATATCCAAATTTGATCAAAGGTCACGTGAAAAAATTAGTAAAAACTGGAAGGGTTTTTCTAAAAGGGGGTTTGCCCCAATTTTTTTCCTTTTTTCCTGCCAGCCATGTATTCTGCCACGAAAACACGTTTTTTAAATAATTGATTCGATTTCATCTTTTTTTTTTCAAAAATGTTTGGAATCTCATTTTGTTCCCTTCGAAACTACTGTATTTGACATTAAAAAAACACATTTTAAAGAAGAAAAAAAAGAGATTCAATAGGTTTTTTCTATAACTTGATTGATGACGTCATTCATGGCAAAATATGGAAGGCTTCCTGATTTTACCATGTATCATTTTTTGAAAAAACTTCATTGATTCATCTCGGATTTGACATTGGGCACAATAGAACAAAAAAACATGGTAAATGACGTGGGAAAACAGAGCAGTTAAAATTCGAATTCAAATTTTGGTGCGCGAAAAAAATGGCGCCAAAATTACGGTACAAATATTTGACAAGAGACTAGGTGCGGGCGAAATTGGAAGCCTAGATTTTTTTTGGGGGGAAATTTAAAAATGAAATTTTTTTATATATCACAGAAGGGCGGGAAAATTGAATTTAGAACATTTAAATTCAGAATTTTTGAAAAAAGGGAAAAATTAAAAATTTTTGGGGAAACCCGCAATTTTCGAGACAGAGAGAGAGGATATGAGATTTAAATGCTTTTCAGGCTGAAAATTTCAGATTTTGGCTGAAAATGCGGGATTTTCAGCTAAAAAATGCTGAAAGTCTCATATTTTCACGTTTTTTGATATCAAAAAAAATTTGAAAATTCAAAAATCGCGCCCAAAAAAAAACTCTTACCACATATGGATTTGGATTTCTCTGCACAGGCGGATTATTCGCTGCTGCTCGCGGAACAGCTTGTGGTCGACGTCGCGGTCTTGCGGCGGCAGCGCGGAACACCGCTCCCGGTAATCGTGCCTCGTCGTCTTCATCCTCTTCCGCATTCGAGCTGCTTTCCTCGTCGTGGTGGTTGTCGGCGGCTTGCGGTGTGGCGGCTTAGTCATGTTTAGGCTCAAAAGAACGCAAATTTCACGAGGCTCTTTATATTTGTGCTCAAAATAGAGCGAAACTTCCGAATTTTCAGCTCAAAATCTGAAATTCTGAAGTTTAACCTTGTTTGGGCTTTGGAGCCGCAATTCTGAATTTTCAGCCCAAAATCAAAATTTTTCGAATCTAGTCATGTTCGGGCTCAAAAGTTAGCTAATAATCTGAATTTTCAGCCTATAGGTCATTTTTATGCTTGAAATCAAGCTGAAAAATCAAGAAATCTGAATTTTCAGCCCAAGAACTCTAAAATTTCAGCTCAAGACCAAAAAATTTTCTTTTATGCTCAAATTGATGCAAAAAATCAGATTTTTCAAATACTTCGCGGATCCAGCGCCGCTTTCAAATCCCAAACTTTATAGAGGGTTTTGGGGAGCATTTTGAGCCCAAATTCGACTAAATTTGAAAAAAAATGTGATTTTCAGAATTCTGAAGGCTTTCGGAGCATTTTGAGCCTAAATTCGACTGAATTTAGAAAAAAATTGAGATTTTCAGAATCTTGACAGCTCCAGGAGCAAATAGAGCCCAAATTCAGTTCGTTTCTGTTCAAAAATGTGATTTTCAGAATCCTTAAGACTCCAGGAGCATTTTGAGCCCAAATATGATATATTTTGGACCAGAAATGTGATATTCAGAATCCTGACATCTCCAAGAGCATTTTGAGCCCAAATTTGGACAGTTTTGGACCAGAAATGTGATTTTCAGAATCCTGAAGGCTCCCGGAGCATTTTGAGCACAAATTTAGTTAGGTCTGGAGCAAAAATGTGTTTTTGAGAATCTTGGGAGCTTTTGGAGCAATCTCTACCGAAAATCCAAATTTTTAGGAAAAATCAAGAATTAGAGCTCAAAATAACCCAAAAATCACAATTTTTGAGCCATAATTCAAAATCCATCTCAAAATTCGTGAAATTCTCTCAGCAACCTCAAAAAATCCAAAATTTTTGGAAAAATCAAGAATTAGAGCTCAAAATATCCCAAAAATCACAATTTTTAGCCGTAATTCAAAATCCATCTCAAAATTCGTGAAATTCTCTCAGGAACCTCAAAAAATCCAAACTTTCAGGGAAAATCAAGAATCAGTGCTTCACAGAGCTCAAAAATCCTTATTTTCGAGCCATATATCAAATTCTATATCAATATTCCTAAAATTCTCTCAGGAATCCCAAAAAAGCCAAAGTTTCAAAAAGGTTAAGAATTAGAGCTCGAAAGAGCTCAAAAATGATAATTTGTGCGAAATATACTAAATTGGGTGTCAAAATTCCTGAAATTCTTCCAGGAATGTCAAAACGAAATTGTTCGAAATCTTAATTTTTCCCTTCCAAACTACTGTATTTGATAAAAAAACATTTGACATAAAAATTGGAATATTTATTGGATAAAATGAAGATGTGCTGTGATTACGCAATCAAAACGCAATGAATACATAATGAAAACACAAACTATGTTGGCCAACCAAATTGTTCGAAATCTTAATTTTTCCCTTCGAAACTACTGTATTTGACAAAAAAACATTTGATATAAAAATTGGAATATTTATTGGATAAAATGAAGATGTGCTGTGATTACGCAATCAAAACGCAATGAATACACAATGAAAACACAAACTATGTTGGCCAACCAAATTGTTCGAAATCTTAATTTTTCCCTTCGAAACTACTGTATTTGATACAAAAAAAAACATTTGACATAAAAATTGGAATATTTATTGGATAAAATGAAGATGTGCTGTGATTACGCAATCAAAACGCAATGAATACACAATGAAAACACAAACTATGTTGGCCAACCAAATTGATCGAAATCTTAATTTTTCCCTTCGAAACTACTGTATTTGATACAAAAAAAAACATTTGACATAAAAATTGGAATATTTATTGGATAAAATGAAGATGTGCTGTGATTACGCAATCAAAACGCAATGAATACACAATGAAAACACAAACTATGTTGGCCAACCAAATTGTTCGAAATCTTAATTTTTCCCTTCCAAACTACTGTATTTGATACAAAAAAAAAACATTTGACATAAAAATTGGAATATTTATTGGATAAAATGAAGATGTGCTGTGATTACGCAATCAAAACGCAATGAATACACAATGAAAACACAAACTATGTTGGCCAACCAAATTGTTCGAAATCTTAATTTTTCCCTTCCAAACTACTGTATTTGATACAAAAAAAAACATTTGACATAAAAATTGGAATATTTATTGGATAAAATGAAGATTGTGCTGTGATTACGCAATCAAAACGCAATGAATACATAATGAAAACACAAACTATGTTGGCCAACCAAATTGTTCGAAATCTTAATTTTTCCCTTCCAAACTACTGTATTTGATAAAAAAATAACATTTGACATGAAAATTGGAATATTTATTGGATAAAATGAAGATGTGCTGTGATTACGCAATCAAAACGCAATGAATACATAATGAAAACACAAACTATGTTGGCCAACCAAATTGTTCGAAATCTTAATTTTTCCCTTCGAAACTACTGTATTTGATACAAAAAAAAACATTTGACATAAAAATTGGAATATTTATTGGATAAAATGAAGATGTGCTGTGATTACGCAATCAAAACGCAATGAATACATAATGAAAACACAAACTATGTTGGCCAACCAAATTGTTCGAAATCTTAATTTTTCCCTTCCAAACTACTGTATTTGATAAAAAAATAACATTTGACATGAAAATTGGAATATTTATTGGATAAAATGAAGATTGTGCTGTGATTACGCAATCAAAACGCAATGAATACATAATGAAAACACAAACTATGTTGGCCAACCAAATTGTTCGAAATCTTAATTTTTCCCTTCCAAACTACTGTATTTGATAAAAAAATAACATTTGACATGAAAATTGGAATATTTATTGGATAAAATGAAGATGTGCTGTGATTACGCAATCAAAACGCAATGAATACATAATGAAAACACAAACTATGTTGGCCAACCAAATTGTTCGAAATCTTAATTTTTCCCTTCGAAACTACTGTATTTGATACAAAAAAACATTTGACATAAAAATTGGAATATTTATTGGATAAAATGAAGATGTGCTGTGATTACGCAATCAAAACGCAATGAATACATAATGAAAACACAAACTATGTTGGCCAACCAAATTGTTCGAAATCTTAATTTTTCCCTTCCAAACTACTGTATTTGATACAAAAAAAAACATTTGACATAAAAATTGGAATATTTATTGGATAAAATGAATTTGTGCTGTGATTACGCAATCAAAACGCAATGAATACACAATGAAAACACAAACTATGTTGGCCAACCAAATTGATCGAAATCTTAATTTTTCCCTTCGAAACTACTGTATTTGATACAAAAAAAAACATTTGACATAAAAATTGGAATATTTATTGGATAAAATGAAGATGTGCTGTGATTACGCAATCAAAACGCAATGAATACACAATGAAAACACAAACTATGTTGGCCAACCAAATTGTTCGAAATCTTAATTTTTCCCTTCCAAACTACTGTATTTGATAAAAAAATAACATTTGACATGAAAATTGGAATATTTATTGGATAAAATGAAGATTGTGCTGTGATTACGCAATCAAAACGCAATGAATACATAATGAAAACACAAACTATGTTGGCCAACCAAATTGTTCGAAATCTTAATTTTTCCCTTCCAAACTACTGTATTTGATACAAAAAAAAACATTTGACATAAAAATTGGAATATTTATTGGATAAAATGAAGATGTGCTGTGATTACGCAATCAAAACGCAATGAATACATAATGAAAACACAAACTATGTTGGCCAACCAAATTGTTCGAAATCTTAATTTTTCCCTTCCAAACTACTGTATTTGATACAAAAAAAAAACATTTGACATAAAAATTGGAATATTTATTGGATAAAATGAAGATGTGCTGTGATTACGCAATCAAAACGCAATGAATACACAATGAAAACACAAACTATGTTGGCCAACCAAATTGTTCGAAATCTTAATTTTTCCCTTCCAAACTACTGTATTTGATACAAAAAAAAACATTTGACATAAAAATTGGAATATTTATTGGATAAAATGAAGATTGTGCTGTGATTACGCAATCAAAACGCAATGAATACATAATGAAAACACAAACTATGTTGGCCAACCAAATTGTTCGAAATCTTAATTTTTCCCTTCCAAACTACTGTATTTGATAAAAAAATAACATTTGACATGAAAATTGGAATATTTATTGGATAAAATGAAGATGTGCTGTGATTACGCAATCAAAACGCAATGAATACATAATGAAAACACAAACTATGTTGGCCAACCAAATTGTTCGAAATCTTAATTTTTCCCTTCGAAACTACTGTATTTGATACAAAAAAAAACATTTGACATAAAAATTGGAATATTTATTGGATAAAATGAAGATGTGCTGTGATTACGCAATCAAAACGCAATGAATACATAATGAAAACACAAACTATGTTGGCCAACCAAATTGTTCGAAATCTTAATTTTTCCCTTCCAAACTACTGTATTTGATAAAAAAATAACATTTGACATGAAAATTGGAATATTTATTGGATAAAATGAAGATTGTGCTGTGATTACGCAATCAAAACGCAATGAATACATAATGAAAACACAAACTATGTTGGCCAACCAAATTGTTCGAAATCTTAATTTTTCCCTTCCAAACTACTGTATTTGATAAAAAAATAACATTTGACATGAAAATTGGAATATTTATTGGATAAAATGAAGATGTGCTGTGATTACGCAATCAAAACGCAATGAATACATAATGAAAACACAAACTATGTTGGCCAACCAAATTGTTCGAAATCTTAATTTTTCCCTTCGAAACTACTGTATTTGATACAAAAAAACATTTGACATAAAAATTGGAATATTTATTGGATAAAATGAAGATGTGCTGTGATTACGCAATCAAAACGCAATGAATACATAATGAAAACACAAACTATGTTGGCCAACCAAATTGTTCGAAATCTTAATTTTTCCCTTCCAAACTACTGTATTTGATACAAAAAAAAACATTTGACATAAAAATTGGAATATTTATTGGATAAAATGAATTTGTGCTGTGATTACGCAATCAAAACGCAATGAATACACAATGAAAACACAAACTATGTTGGCCAACCAAATTGATCGAAATCTTAATTTTTCCCTTCGAAACTACTGTATTTGATACAAAAAAAAACATTTGACATAAAAATTGGAATATTTATTGGATAAAATGAAGATGTGCTGTGATTACGCAATCAAAACGCAATGAATACACAATGAAAACACAAACTATGTTGGCCAACCAAATTGTTCGAAATCTTAATTTTTCCCTTCCAAACTACTGTATTTG